ATTCCACAGATCAATGGAAAAGTTTCCTTGTTTCTGATCACCAAGGGGTGAGCCCAGCAACTTTTCAGCAAATTTTTTTGACATGGAATTACCAGTAGGTGATTGCATATTGGGCGCCAGAGTCTGCACCAAAAGAAAGAGTAGTTCAAATTCATAAACTTACATCCACAAGCATGAGATCTGATGATGAAAATATATGTAAAATATTAATTCGTGATGTTTATTCAATTAGCCATTTAAAATGAGATCCAAGCATTGTTTAAATATAAGATCGTCTTTACGCCTCCATTAGAGAGTTTAGATTTGTAATTCTAACGTTGAGTTAGCTTACATAATCAAATTAGTCCGAAATGACTGTATAAGCCACAGATTTATCACCTGCCACCATATGGACTCGACTATCCGTGAAAATATCCATGATTCGACTTTCTCCAAGGCACAAGTGAAAGTTCTTGTTTCTTGCCAATCATCAACAAACTTGAAGAAGCTTTGCTTTTTTGACTGTCTATTCCCAATACTGGTCTTCGGTTTAAGATGTAAAGACCTTGTTTCACCTCCACCTGACTCGAATATTTTCGTTAAGGCACTGGACTGGCAGGACCTTCCAAAAGCTTGAGATATAATTTCCCTCAACACAACAGTGTTGGACAACCAAAAAGTCAACCTAGTAAGTAGGAACATAAGATGCTTAATAATTTGAACAACTTAGAGAATTCTTTTAACTATGGGGACTAAACTGAAGACAATGAACCTGGACACATCATTGCCGCATGACTTGGAAACTGTAACAAGCCCAGACACGGTGTTTCTAGCCACTGTAGCTCGCTTATCTGGGGACCAATATTTGCAAGCATAGATATAGAGCCTAGAAAGGCGCCTTGCGGGTGTATGAACCTTGTGTGCCGAGCTACCGTGCTCGGGCACTACAGAATAGAGAGAAATTTCAAGCGCAGCCACTTCTCTTAGTTCGCTTTCAAGGTTCTTTATCCTGATTTCCATTTCCTCAATCTTTTGGTCTGAAGCAGATGTGCCAGTTTCCAATGTATTGACTGCATCTTCATTACCACAAACACAGTTAATCCCATTGGGAGCCTCATCAATTACTCGGCCATTGGCATCTTCAGACAAATCCGATATCGGTTTCGGATAGACTTTCACATTTTTCAAATTATCAATGGAAATCTTGGGGGCCAGCTGCGAAATCCCCGTTATTTCAGCTTTAGTGCCTTCCTTTGGCAAGTCTTTTGATGATTTGTCCTGCACATTACTTGATTTGTTCTCAGTTTTCGATCTGGGTGCATGTGTATCGCCATCAGAGGGGTCTTTGTTCTCCAGCATCACAGCAGGATCAGCCTTTTCGGGCCTCTCATCATCACCCGTTTGTGAATCCCCTAGAGAAGAGAATGAATCATTAGCAGTCTCGGCATCAGATTCATCGGCAATCTCCATATCACTAGAAGTTTCATTTGATTTTTCATTGCCTTGTTTCTCATCAACAACTTCAGGTATTCTGGTATCATCATCCACACAATCTATTATCGCATTTTTGTGAACTTGAGGTGGATCCACGGCAGCTTTCTTCTCGCTGACTAATGTGTTGCTGATCACTTTTTCATGTGGTGGTTTGGTGTTATTCTGTCTAGCTTTTGGGTTTCTGCCGCTATTCTTTTCCTGTGGCCTACGATCCCGCGTGTCTGGCCTTGCAGAGCGGCCCTTTTCTTTGTTATTGGGATTCTTTTTCTCCTTCATCCTCAAAATTCCCTCCTTTTTCACTGGATAAGAACGAAGGACCACCCAAAATCAGATAAAAGCTAGTGACCACATAAAGGCTTAAGAAACACCATGGACCCACAAAACAATGTCCATCTCTTTAAAAGACAAACTGGGTGTCCCCTTCTTTTGTTTCACCATAATACTCTCTATCATCGTTGATAGCTCGATTCAAGAGACAAAGCATTATCACAAGCTAACTTCAAATTCAACATTTTTGAGAGATTAAAAAAAAAAAAAAAGCAAGTACAGTTACCATTCAGATCTATGGGCCAACAAAGTAACAAGTAAGGAAGAAAGAAAGGGCAAAAGTATTGATAGAACAAAAGGTAAGAACACAGATGAACCCAAAAACAGAAGGCACATAAGAGCCGTAATATACATCCCTATCAACAAAGCATCAGAAAGAACATCTGTCTGATGGACAAAAAGGAACCTGAAAAGATGCAAAACCCAAGCACAGATCAAACAACAAATCAAAACTTCTTACTCATTTATGCTCACAGATCCAACTCCTTGGCCCGATTATGCTATTGCTTCAACAAAACAACTAAACAAGTGATAATTTACTTCCGATTTCAAATTCCACAGTGAAAATGCGTCGAAAATTGACCGGCGAATGAGTAAACACACCGGAAATTAAGAGGTGATGAATGAATGTCGGCGGTTACAAAAGTAGTGCTGGAAACCGTTACCCGGAAATGCACGAATCCCGTATACACCCACACACTCAACCGCCATGGATAAACCAAATATAAGGTTATAATATATATACATTAAAGAAAAACACACACACACACACACACACACACACACTCAATCTACAAGCTAAACACCATCGATAAACGCCACATCGAAACGAGTAAAAAAAAAAACAGGATCCAAAGCGACAAAATATAGACATGGAAACCAGAGCTCTGAGCTCACACCAAAACAAGCAACACCAAAAAAAGGTGCTTCGAAACTTACGACAGAAAGCGTAGAACGATTTTGTTTCAGAAGCTTTTGCAAGTCTACAGCATCTACGCCGCCGAGGTCAGAGAAATTGAAGAAGCTTCTTCGTCCAGAGAATGAGTAGCCATTTATGAGTATGTATAAAAATTGGCAATTTCAGAAGTTGTTTGCTCTGTGGCTGCTGGCGACTGTGCTGCAATTATGGCCGTGTAAGCGTAAGCAGAGGGATATTATATATATTTTTTAATTAAAGAAAAAACACAACACATTACACATTATTTTGTAATTTTGTTGAGAGTTTTAGAAATGATGAAAGGGAGAGTTTGACCGGCGGAGGGGTGTCGGTGAGGGACCGCCACCGGGAAATCCCGGTCACGGTTAGGTAACGTAACGCTTCCAATATTTTATTTAATTATTAGTAGTATTTATTATGGGATGAAAGAAATTGCATAAATTTAATTTGAAGGTACATGTAGTTTTGGCTTTTAGCTAATAGCATAGGGTGATTATACGGTAATGTTAACGGAATAATTCCGTCAGAATTTGTAAACGTTAAATCAATTATTTTCGACGGTTACATAATGATCTAATGGTTATAAATTCCGACGAAATAATTCTGTAACAGGACTGTAGCATTTTCCAATAGCATATAGGGTATAGCCAAAGATTAGTACATCGACTAGCCGCGGAATGCATTAGTTATTTGCAAATAAATATTTGGCTAATTGTATTAGATGCTTTTTAATAAATATTTAGCAAACAACTTATTGTATAGTTATTTTGAAAAAAAAAATATCCTTATGTTATTATACGAATCCATTCTTTCCAAACGCTTCTATATTTATTTTTTTATTTTCAGAATTTGTGCATTCAAAAAAAACTAATCAAATAACCTTCTTTACCAAACAAACTCATTAGACAAATTAATTAGTAAATTTGACGGATCAAACCTGCATATAAAGTTCAATCTACTAATTTTATACGTATCCAATAACATTAAGGCCAATATCAACTAATAGACAGATGATTGTATTACATGATAGTTTATAGGAAATTGTCAAGGTTGATTTAGCTAGTAATTATAAATGAATGTTTGATAAATAATGATTTATATATTTATTTTGGATATTGTGTGTTGTATTATATTTACCCTTAAATTTATTTATTTATATAAATGTGAAATTCTCAACTGCAAATCATGAAACTCTTGGCCTGAAGTGAATTTATTTATTCATTTGAAAAGTAGAAATATAGTCAACAACCTGAAGTGAAGGCGTTCACCTGTAACCCGTCCATTTCCACATGAACCACCACCGACAGCAACCTTCCTGGCCGCTTCTTTTCAATTATAATTTAATAATTTGATGTAGACTAGACCCTTATAATGCAATTTACTGATTTTATCAAATAATTTTAAAGCCACCTATTATTTTTACTGATTTATATGATTGTTATATTCCCATCTTTTTGTCTGGACATTGAAATAATGTAATATAACAAAGAAAAATATCAATTGACTGGTGGAATAGAGATCTCATCTTATTGTATTTTGATTTTGAAGGACCCATATATATAGTGTGATCCAGCCATGATTTGGTTGTCCTAATAAATACATATGTCAATGAGATTTAATTTTTAAACTTTGAAGGAAATAAAATATCAGATGTACACAGATTCTAATGCGTTTCTGATTTTGCAACATTTGGTATTAATACGTTTGAAATTGATGCAAGTGTAAAATGAACACATAAATTGCTAAAGGTTCATAATTTGGTTGGAACTAAAGACGTCATTGCACTCAATCAGATCCATAGACATGATGAACCAAGCTAGCCACGAACACATGTCCGAAAAACACATTAAAGGCAGGCCCCCCAGTTCGGCTCGTCTTTAAACTAGCTGTGTTCTTTCACTATTCACTCGAACAAAGCTTGTATGAGTTTAGAAAGATTAATATAATAAAACAAGTTCAAACACAAACCGCGACACTTGAGGCTACCATAAGATAGCAAAGAAATGTAAATGAAAGAATCTCAGTCCGACTCGAAAGATTAGTACAATTACGGGCCAACAGCCCGAATATAACGATATCACAGAAGAGCACTCACTAACTATTCATTCAACTTGGTTTTTTTTTTTTTAATTCCTCTGTCTACCAATCACATCTGCTCATTTAGAAATGAGAATTACAGTATTCCACTTGTGCTAACTTTCTATGTGTCGACTAACACCACCTCTAACTAGTAAAGTATAAGTTCACCTTTAAGATTGGCCAATGCATATTTACATCACTAAAACTATGAGTTCGAAGGTTGGCCAAAATAGAAGTACGATACCAAATAAGACTCCACAAGAAATAAAGAGAAAAAAAGACAAATATTGAAACATTTTTACAGTATTACAGTTTCCATATGTATAATGTCTCAATATGATTCATAAATATATTTCATACACAAAGCAAGGGTCAACAAAAACACTTCCCTATCATCAACCCCTCCTCTAGATTTATTGTGTTCAATCACAAGTTTCGCATGATAGCAATTTGATGTATTCATTTCAACTACCGAGTACCAGGATTGAGCTGAGAGCAAAATTATGGTAAAAATTATTACCCCAAACACCTCCAAAAACCAAGTACCACAAACATAACACGTCCATCTACACAATACAACAAGCATTTCCGGAAGTCCACTTCAAGAGATAAGGATTGAGCGTTCAAAACAAAAGTCGAGATCAAATGAATCTTTTGAAATCCTTAACCGGCTAAAAATAGATTCATACGAATGTGGAATCACACAAGTGGAAAAAGGGAAATGAATGATCCCCAATATTTGACATATGCTCAAGCAACACAACAAGATAGAAATTATAGTTCAAATAACAGAAAGCAAATGCACTAAACTAAAGAAGAAGTTTTAAAACCGAGTATTAATTACTGAGAACAGAAAAACTCATATTTCGAGCGTTGCACATTCCTTCATAAAAATCCAGTGAAACCAGCACGTCGAGATCCATCAAGAGACGGGACAAAAACTAACACCTCTTACACGTTTTTACACTTACAAGACCACTTTTAACCAACTTTCGTTGCCTCCTCGGTCCTCAGTAAACATTCATAATGAAACACATTATCAGTTTATCACACAAGAAGTTAATCTAACTTCCCTATCCTCAACTCTGATATTCAATCTACAATGCACACAAAACATAATACTCTGTCTAATCTAATCCATAACATTTATAACATCCTGCAATTCATAGTACGTCGATATCATCCCAAAAACAACAGTATCATTTCAAATGAAACAACAAAAAAGGGGGGGATTGCAATTATTTCTTCAAACAAGTTTCACTGGAACAAGTACTGATAAGTCAGGGAAAAACACCCTTCCGCCAACATAATGGGGA